AAATATTGCATGGTAAATTACATTAGTGTAGCACGTGTATTCAGTTTGCCAGACCAAAACCAAACATTTTAACACACCTAGAGTTGTCTTTTCTCTATGTGATCTACTGTGAAATGGATGTTGTAATACTTACTGATTAGCTAGACGAGGGCAGTTTAACTTCAGGGTGACAGCTTTATCCAGCTTGTGATATTCCTCAGCTCAGTGGCTTCACTGACAGTTCCTCTTGCCAGGAGGGAGAAGCTTGCTCTGAGATTTATGTTCTCTTTTCATGTAGGCAATTTGGTAGTGCCCCGGTCTCTTAATTACCCGCTAGTTCATGGGCAGAAGAGGTTGTGTGGCTGTTGGAAACATACGCTGTTCGAGCAGTTGTTCAAAGATTCCTCCAAGAAGAAGGTAGTGAGCAGGCTGGAGGTGTGACACAGCCAGGATCCAGCCTTTGGGACAGTTATGAGCTACATTATGAGTCTCAAGGAAGGAAGCCTTAAGGGAGAATCACAGTAGTGATTCTATTAAGTTGCTAGTTGTAATGAGATGTCACACACAAGAGCTAAAGGAATTTCTTTACGAGGTTTATCTAAGGAGATGGACTCTTTTTTTTTTTTTTTTAAAGGTTAACGTATCTGTAATCATCACCAGCTGAAATTCTGGCAAAGACAGCAGTCTTTGTTCTCGCAAGACCTTGTTCTGCATCTTCAAGTGCAAACTGTATCTGTAATTTCAGGCACCTTTTACTTGTGAAGTAACAAAAAATTTAAGAGAAGGTGAGAAGGACTCTGAAGGATCCACAGTAGAGAAGATTCAGATTCACCAGGCCATTTATAGCTTGAAAGTCTTGCCTAGAAGTCTGAAATCAATGCAGTGGAAAAGGTAGCAAAAGCTACAAAAATTGCATGAGTGGCGTGGTGAGATCAGGCCATCCCCAGCTGCATTGCGGTCTGAATGTGGTTCCTTGCAAGAGTGAGCGTTCAATGCCTGGCAGTCAGCAGATGCAATTACTAGAAAAATGCAGTACATCTTTCCACGTCTTTATCCTCCAGAACTCTGTCAGTCGTTCTGGTCAGTTACACTTTATTCCACAGGTTTTGGGGTGGCATTATTTGCTAAGTTAATAAGAATCAGGGTGATAGAAGACACAGGCTAATACTCGTGTGTGAAGGGGTCCTTAATCATCTGTCTGGATAAGATCCATGTAGCCTGGTTCTGAAGTCTGCCTTTGAAGACACTGGAGGGAAGAAAGAGTATGTTGGATGCTTTACATCCTAAGGCACACCTTCTAAACTGCTGCTTACCAGCTGCTTTTTAGACCTGCCTGATTTTCACTTGGGTACAAATCGACTATAGCTAAGGCTTGGAGAGATTCCACTTTATGCCTTCTAACCCAGAGCATCTAATGCAAACCTTAATGATGCAGCGAATATAGGTGTTATTTTCCATACACAAGAATTGTAGGCTGTTTCAGCACTTGTAATTTCCTGAACACCAGCCCACCGGAAGGGTAAGTACCAACGTGCTGTGGAGGCACACATTTCTTTTACTGAGTATTAAGTACCTGGGGTTAAATAAGAAAGGCAAACATCAGTGTTACAGGCTACTGTTAGTTCTGTCTCTATATATTATGCATGCTAAGGATTAAAAATATAGTTAGCATAGTTTTTACTAATGCAACATGCATCGGCTTTTTGTCAACTGAAATACGGTGAAGTTACAAAAATAAATGGAATGCATGAATAAGTAGATATGTCAGTTAAACCTAAATGTGCTCAATGTAGATATCCTTAGTGTGCTCAAGGCACAGAAATTATTCTTCTGCACACAACTGCAAACACAGAATTTGTAGTATATTTTAATGTGCAATGTGATAGCATGATAGTTTCTGCAACTTCTCTGTTCAATTTGTCAGCATTAGTTTGCCTCATTCAGACAGAGGCTTGTGTAAACATTGCACGTATTGCTTCAAGAGATGTGCTGTGTGCATGAATTCAGTCAGATATCATTACTTTATTGATCAAAATAACTCTTTACTCTTTGATATTCCTGTTAACCATGTAAAGCCAAGACAGTGAAGAAAGTGCGGGCTGTGTTCTTTCTTGCTCTTGATTTGAATCACTTTCAAAATTAAACATATGCAAACTTATTCAGGGAGGGGAGCGCCGTGAAAAGTCTCGTTTGCCATATTTGGTTAGTAGTGAAGGAAATAACGCTGCTAATAATTTGAATTCTTGAACTTCAGGTTGGGTTTGCTGGACGAGCAGTTGTACCAAAGAAAGAGAAAAGATACTTATTTTAAAGGGCGTTGGTATAAGTCAGTACAAGCTGGCTGTGAATAAATTTTGTCTGTGATCCAGCTCAGAGTGAAAAGGAAAATAGGAGAGATGCATTTATTATGCCCTCAGCATCAGCTTCTTGGGCATGTTGGCTTTCCTTCTGTGGAAGAAGTCATGCAAGTTGTCCACAAGCATAATTTTAACTCATGTATTTCAGAAGCCAGATTTTTTCGTACAGGGAGTTGGTGTTTGTGGCAGCATAAACTCTGCCATGTGCCAGTGGGTCTTTTTGGCATTCTAGTTTTTTCCCTTTGGGTTGAGGTTCTCTAGCAACAGAATTTGTTAGTCAAAAACATCTCTCAGATAAGCTGCTTGTGGTTCTAGTGGGTGTTTTCATTGTGCATAGTCTGTATCCTTCATGCCATGCCAATTATTGGATTCTTAAAAAAATTACTAATGGATGAGAAAATGTAGACTTCGGCTTTGTTGACTGCATATTAGCTTCTACCTGAAGATCCAGGGAATGCTGAGCCAGCATCTTCAGAGAAGAGCGTGAAAAAGCGTGTGAAAAACTAACATGAGTGTATACACAAATTTCTAACTTTGTTTGAAAAGAAAGCAGTAATAAGCATTTTGCCCAATTATTAAAAGATCTTTGTTTTCCAAATATACAGAAAACTCGAGGATGTTGAGTCTAAATTATGTATTGGTGCCCAGTGATAGGACAAGAGGTAACGGGTACAAGCTGGAATATAGGAAGTTCCGTCTTAACATGAGGAGGAATTTCTTTACTTTGAGGGTGGCAGAGCACTGGCACAGGCTGCCCAGAGAGGTGGTGGAGTCTCCCACTCTGGAGACATTCCAAACCCGCCTGGACGCCGTCCTGTGCAACCTGCTGTAGGTGACCCTGCTCTGGCAGGGAGGTTGGACTAGATGATCTCCAGAGGTCCCTTCCAGCCCTGACCATTCTGTGATTCTGTGATTTGTGGACTGTGCTTTTGGGGGGGGTATGCATTCACTTTGTGGAATTAGCCCTACATTTCAGTGTCAGCTGTAAAACGTAAACCTACACGTAGTGAAACGGGGAGCTTGGGTGTCACTGAAAGGCTTCCACGTTATTCTTTGCTATGCCACTGGAAGCAGGTTGGCTCGGGAAAAGCAGCAAATTATTCGGATGCCAGAGTTTTAGTGAACAATAGGGAAATGGCATTTGCTTAGTACGTTACATATGCCATGCAGTTTTTGGACTTGTGTCTAATATTATGTAAGGCAGAGATTGGCAGCTTTTCAGGAGCGAGGTGCCAGATTGTATTTTTCTTTCACAAATTAGAGGTTAGGAACGCTGGTTGAAAACATTCAAACGCTCTGTCAGGCGGTGTTTGGAAACGGCTGGCTGTCACGCAGGCAAGATGCCACCCGGCAGCCGGCGTGGGGCTGTTGTGGGGGGCGAGGGCTCCCCGTCCCTGTCCCTCTCCCCATCCCTGTCCCTGTGCTGCCAGAGCCGGGAGCGCTCTTGGGGCACCAATGCTCCCAGTGCTCCGGCCCATGCCAGCGACACCGGTGTTGTCTGCCTCTGGAAATCCACCCACCTCTTCCTTTGCCATGTGCGCCAAGGGTTGGGAACTGCCGGCGCAGTCGGAGGCTCTGTCCCATGCGTCTAACGTTGTCTGTTTGTAATTGCTATTAGCGTGAAGTTTGGCATAAATTTCTTGTGTGAAGGTGGGCTTAACGTGGCTCTGCAGAGATGGTTTTATAACAGATACTTTGGAGACTGGATGGTCACTGTGAAACCGGAGCGAAGCAGTTGACCAGTAATGTCCTCTTTTACTTTGCATTTTTCTAAAATAGAGGTGAGCATCAGCAGGTTCTTAATGCAAGTTTCTAAGCAATAATATTTGAAACCCCTGAGCATATGCAAAAAGATACTCGTTGTGAAGTGATGTGGGATGTTATAATGTCTATATTGATTTTGCAGGCTGTATTAATCAAGAAGTAATATAGGATAGCATAGGATAGTAACCTGTAGGCTTACTTTAGAATCTAACCTTTGACAAAGAGCTCATGCTGGTTTATATGGTTAATGGCTCTTGGGAGTAGTAATTATCAGGTAACCTGGAGCCATGTCTGAACAGCGAGTAATACTATACTTTTTTTAGAATGTAGTGCAAGTGTGCATGAGTTGGCCTCTTATTTTGTGGTATCATTTGTACAAAACGCACTAGTGTTGCGTCTAGTGTAACATCTTTCAGAGTTGTGCCTGTCAGCGCGTGTATCAGAAAGTGCAGCAGGTTCAGAAAGCAACAATCTGATTACAGGCAGCTGCCTCTTCATTTTAGAACAAGGCTGATTGTTAAATCAAAAGCTTTCAAATGTAATTATGGCATGGGACAGTTACTCTGTAGAAATTCCCAGAGCACCACCTCTGCAACCTGTCAGCATGTGTACCGTGTTGTGTTTTGTCCATGGTCATGTGACAGCTAGATCAATTTTCTCATTTAGAAAATATAAATGGTTTCTACATGGGAAAGCTTACAATGAAAATATCAAAATTATTTCTGTCATTCCATAATAAAAAACCTAGCATCATTTTCTTCCTTAAACTAAAAATAAAAGCATATAAATGCGTGACTACTTTGAATTTCATAGCATGTTCTAAATACTCAAAATATTTAACAGTATAATTAATAATACGCATTTTAATGGAATGTCATGGTTTTTTTTTTTTCCCAGGAGCTGTGATCTCTCCACTCCACAAGATGTGGCTTTATTGGATGCACGTAAAGGAGCTGAAATGTTTAGAAAAGTCCATGTACCTGTAAGCCTCTACATTAAAAATACCAGTAGATTGTTTTTCCAAAATGTAAAAAAAATTCCATATGCTGCAATAGGTGAACAAACCATTCAGGAATCATTTGAATTTCATAAAGTCTTGTTAAAAAAAAAAAAAAAGGCATTAGAATCCATCTTACATCTGTATCAGGAGCTTGCTTTACCAGAAGGGTAAAAAGAATTTTCTCAGGTCGAGGTCATAATATTATTTGATATCTTTTAAATCAGTTTGTTCAATCACCTGGAATTAGTCAAGACTGCTAAACAGAGTATCTTACAAAGTAACGTGTGCTTTGCAATTGTACTGTCTTGTGTTATCCTCATTATGTGTCCTCTTCAGCACCATCTGTGTTGGAATTTAAAATCTGAAATCTCTTGAAATGTGGAAAAATCATATATTGGTACATTTTAAGAAGGAAATTTAAGTTTTTGGGAAGATACGCACATACCTAATTGTCACTTTGCCATTTGAAGGGCTCCGTGACTGTCATGCCAAGAAGGCTGTCTGTATCACTCTGGTTTTTATAATGATTATAGTGTACATGATAGTTTGCTTGTTTGGGAAATGCAAAATTTAAAAATATCCACAATATTCATATGGATTGGGAGAAAATATTAAACAAGGTGGCATCTTTGACTCGATATTTTCTATGTGTGCTACAAGTTGCTAAGTAACTGAATGTTTTACTCTAGAGTCTGTTCATGAAGAGATTCATTTTTCATTTGAAATCTGCAGTTGATGAGGAAAAAATTGAAATGCTTCCTTATATTATATAGTAAAGAAAAAAAACCCCCCAACATTTACTATACTTTAAAAAAGGTGTTTTCTTGCTCACCTGTGTGAAAGTCAGTTCTACTCTATATTAAGAAAGGAAATTTCTTTTGTAGCCAGTGCTTTGTTAATTTAAAAAATGCAACAGAAGCCTTGAAGTAAATGCTTTCCCTTTTTGTTTTAATTTACAGAATAAGTTAACAAAAGAAGTACACTGATAAATTGCTTATTGTTACTGTTCCATAAGCATATTTGCACCAAAATGGAAGTATAGTAGCATTTATCACTTGCTACTAGAAGAAAAACAAATATATATAACAGAAGAATAGCATATGGAATGTTTTATTTTGACTTTATGTTTGGGTTTGCTAAAATAATTTTCTTCAAAGAAAATTGTGTTCAAGTTAGTACTTCTCTGAATTTTCCTTTTGATTTAATCAGAAATTACCAAGATTTCTTTCTAAGTCTGTTTTGTTCAACGTTCTTTGAAGAGAATGGCCTCTAAGAAAATGGTGCATTCTAGGATAGGCTTGGCTGCTATTAATTTGACTAGTGGTAGGTAAGATACTAAACGTGATATATTTTGATTCCTTGGAATTTTCAGATTGTTCTAAATCAAATGAAAAGTCACAGCGAAGCTGTTGCACCAGATGCTGAGTTTGAATGTACTTGAACCAGTAAGCAGGTCTTACCTTTCTCATGGCGCTGCTTCATTTTATTCTAACCTTGTGCCTACAGCAGTACAGATGTGTCATTTACTTCCGTGTTAAAGCAGCTCCTGCTGATGTGTTACATTTCTAAGTGTCAACTAAATCTGAGGAGCTAAAGAAAGTTTAGTTATGTAATTTTTGACGGACAACTTCAAACCTGAGGTTTACATCGAAGAGGTGGAATCTGTGGGACTGTGGTACAGTTGCGTATCCTGATTATATAATGGACTGATCTTTAAAAATCTAATTTTAAAAGACTTTAATTTTTAAAAAAGCGCTTGCAAAGAGTCTGCTTTTCAAAGAAGCAGAGAGTCTGTAGGTTGCTAAGTTCTGAGTCTTTGAGTATGCTTGCTTATATTTAATGAACTGGAAACTCTCTGTTGTACACGTAGGCATGCATACACCTCCTTCCCCTCATCCCCCCGCCATCATTGCTTACCAACGCCTCAACTGACATATGTAGTACTACCACAGTAAAGTCACAATTGTTAACATTGTTTGTTTGTCCTTTACTGCATTGAAATTAGAGCAGAATGACTGAAGGAACTGATGAAAAGCTAGCAATGAGACTTGGAGCTAGAACCAAGATTACAATGCAAAAGTCTTATTTTCCGTGCTAGGACATAGTGATTAGAAGAGGAGTGCCATCTCTTGTGCAGTGGAGCCCACCTGGTAAGGAAGGAGTTTGCAAAGCGTTGCTGACTTCTGCGACAATGAGTTTCAAGATTCTTGCCTGTTATGTGAGTTTGGCCACTGTTTTCATTCATCCCAGAGGCTTGCTCTGGGCAGGTGACAAAGAAGGTGAATAAGTTTGAGTATTTAGGGAAAATTGCCCATTTTCACCTGCTGAAATTGAGCTCAGTTCAGTATGGTTTACCTTATCAATCATATTCCTGAAAGAAAAAGACAGGGTTTTAGTTAAATCTGCAACTTTTCTGGTGGTTTCCTTGAATTGGAAGGTTATGTTGTGGATTTCACAGGTTTCAAAAAAACTGCTTATGTAAACAGAGCTGTGTATTTCCTTCTAAGATTGTACTAAAATTGTTTATTTGGCTATGTAGTTACTGGTATTTCTGTACTGTCCAGAGTACCCGGCTGAGATTGTGGCAGAAGTTAGAGCCAAAAATTGCTCATTATAAGGTGAAAGGTAGAAAGGCAGGGATATTATTGTGTGCGTTTACTGGAAGCACTAAAACGTCAAGTGACTGATGGTTACGTAGCAAGTTGATGGCAGACTGTACAACTGTAACCCTGACCACTTCAGTCCCCATCAGATGGGAGTCGAACCTCAGCGCCATCCATCCTTAAGTACAGCGAACAACTTGAGTGGGTTTCTCAGGAATTGTCTCCTTGTGTAAAGACAGAGAGCTTTCATTCTCTCACTGCATTTTCTTAAACGTAAAAGATAGCGTATTTGGATTTGGGTCTGTTTTGTTGTGTAACTGAAAGATTCTGTTGAGCCTAAGAAATATGTAAACATTCAGAAACAGTGTGTGCGCAGATAATTTATAATGAAAGGTTTATTCGTTTCCTGTTATTTCTTGATTGACATCTCTTCACTGTTTGAAATAACGATTTGACTAAATGAAATTCAGTTCCGGGCATTGTAACTATCCTCTCCTCCGGTACCATAGGTTAGCTCCTGTATTGCGGTGCATCTCATAGTGCTAGTTTGCATGTCATTACTGAGCCAAGTTTGCTGAGAGACGTACAGGGAAGGGAGCTCACTAAGCAGTAGAATGGGATTCACGCATACTTACAGCATAGTTTGTGTAGACAGTAACAGCTGCTTTTCCAGATCTATTATTTGAGCAGGGAAATGAGAGTTACTGCTGACTTCATTAGCAAGACCTGTTACTTTGTCTGTAGCTTTAAAAGCTCTGGAGATCCTAGCGCACTCTCTTCCTTCTGTAAATATATCTGCAGAAATATGCATATTAAAAATACACTTCAGCACTAATGTTCTGTATGTTTACACAGATTCTATCTTAAACTGGGTGTTTATAACTTGCAACTTAATATTCCAAAAAATCCCTTCATATTCCAAGAAGAGTAATTTATATATCAATAAATATGCACTACTCATTGGCTGGCAGATAGGAACAACACTGAAAAAACAAAAATGATTGTGTAATGCTGAAATGTCATTTGCTTTCAGTAAGATTCGTTGAAATGAAAACAAGAAAGGACAGCGAATAAGACCTCTAAAACTGATTTAGCATTGGGGATACAGCTGTATCTCAGCATTGTCATTAACTGTGTCAGGAAGGCTTCTTAATTATTAGCTTACCAAAGAATTAACAAAGCAGCTGTGATAGACCTTAACTATTCACAAAACAATAGTAGACTACATAGCTTTTTCTTTGTGAATTCGCTGAATCGTAAATGTTGTATCACTACTTTGAGCAGAACAGAAAGTTCAAACCCCAAGATGCCTGAGGATGAATTAATTCATTTAAAGTATAAATGTCAAGTTCTTTTTTTTTCTTTTTTTTTCCCCCCCCTGTGCTGCAGAAAATGGCTTCCCTCTATCCTGGTTAAAATATTATTTTTCTTTTGTCAAATAATACGCCTTCCAGTGTTCTGGTTTACCAATGCAGTGAAAATTCCATGACTTTAATTTAAGGAGAGCAGGATGAATGCCTGCTCAGAGGTCATCAGTAGAAGACTGTGGCTGTAGAGAGTCCTTTTTACCATCCCTGCACCTTGTACCCTTGGACATGTAGTATGCTGTGTCTCTCTTAGTTTAAGAGCTGGATGAAAGAATTACCTGTAATAACCACAGAATGGTGGGGATTGGAAGGGACCTTTGGAGATCATCTAGTCCAACCCCCCTGCCAAAGCAGGTTTACCAGGAGCAGGTTGGACAGGAACGCATCCAGGTGGGTTTTGAATACCTACAGAGGAGACTCCACAGCCCCTCTGGGCAGCCTGTGCCAGTGCTCTGTTACCCTCAAAGTAAAGAAGTTTTTTCTCATGTTGAGGTGGAATTTCCTGTGTTCCAGTTTGTGCCTGTTGCCCCTTGTCCTGTTGCTGGGCACCACTGAAAGGAGTCTGGCCCCATCTTCTGACACCCACCCGTTAGATATTTATACACATTGATGAGATCCCCTCTCGGTCTGCTCTTCCCCAGGCTAAACAGCCCCAGGTTTCTCAGCCTTTCCTTGTAAGAGAGGTGCTCCAGTCCCTTGATCATCTCTGCAACCCTCCACTGGACCCTCTCCAGTAGTTCCCTGTCTTTCTTGAACGGGGAAGCCCAGAACTGGACACAGTACTCCAGACGTGGCCTCACCAGGACAGAGTAGAAGGGGAGGATAACCTCCCTTGACCTACTGGCCACGTTCTTTTTAATGCACCCCAGGATGCCATTCGCCTTCTTGGCAACCAGGGCACATTGCTGGCTCACGGTCATCCTGTTGTCCACCAGGACTCCCACGTCCCTCTCCACAGAGCTGTTTTCCAGCAGGTCAGCCCCTAACCTGTACCGGTTCATGGAGTTATTCCTCCCTAGGTGCAGTACCCTACACGTGCCCTTGTTGAACTTCATTAGGTTCCTGTCCACCCAACACTCCAGCCTGTCCAGGTCTCACTGAATGGCAACACAACTTTCTGGCGGGTCAGCCACTCCTCCCAGTTTTGTGTCATCAGCAAACTTGCCGAGGGTACACTTTGTCCCCTCATCTAGGTCGTTGAATATATTAAACAAGACTGGAATATGTACCAGTAAATAGAAACTTGTTCCTCTTGCTCCTCTGACAGTCCCTGAGGGAGAGTAGAAAATGGGGAGAGTTTGTGGTGTTAGACAGAAAGTAGGTAATCTTTTTGTTTGTTTCTTTGTTTTTTTGTTACTGTTCCTTAAAATGTTCCTTTCTTTTAACCCTATGGAAGTTTTACATATGTAAAGGAAGACTTCTTAGAAAATAGTGTGAAACATATTACAGTGGTATAGGAAAAACAAGTGATAATCTTTTGATCAGTCTTTAGCTTAGATATGAGGACATTTTTATTAAGGTATTGTAAATAACATGCTTTTTTATTTTCACTTTTGGTACAAAAAGTTGTACATTCACTCTTAATTAAATAACTTAATACTTGTTGGTTGCACTGAACACTGGTATATCTTTTTAGATATGCTTCATTAACATAGTGGGTATGTTATTCCTCTAATAATTAGGGCAGCTTGTTCAAACACAAAACTAGAATGCTCAGGGAAATTTAAAAAGCAAAAAAGCTACAAAGTAACAGCCTTTTTTGCCTGAAAATGTATATTCATGTTTTTAAAACTTGGCTATAGTATATGTGACATATCTAGATAATATATAGATCTTAAAGTGGAATTTTGTAACATGGAACCTCTTAAAGCAGGTCTTCTGTTGATTAGCAGATGGGTAGAAGCTTCACCCCGTAGTGTTTGAATGTTGTTTTCATCACTTTTGAGAAATTCTGCTCTGCCTCATTGAACAGTTCTGTTTACTAGGTGAATAAAATGAGATCAATGCTATCATTAGCATTATTGTACATTGTGAAAGAAGATTTTTGTGTGCATGATTTGGCAAATTTTCATTTGACATATTTTGCAAGGATGATGTTGAACATCTGGCATCAACAGAAAGATACCTAATGTGTATGTATTAGACTTTTATGCTGTGGTTTTTGCCACTTTGTTTCTGTTGTTTCATCTTTAAAATGTGTTTCTGTTCTCCAGAAGAATAGCAAATCTGGTGCT